CCGGCAAGTAACTCCTCGGAAAAATAAGATGATCAACACGACGTAGGGAAACGTAGCAGTAAAGTAAACCACCTGTCGGATTGTAAACGTAAATAAATATTATGTTTCAAATGGATGATAAGAAATTGACAGTTTCCCTTATTACAATGCGAAAGGCGTATTTAATCCTTTCCCTCGTGAGATTCTTGATAGTAGTATAGATTTAATTTATTTACTAATTAAGTCGTCATGACGGTAACGATACAAACAACGTCTTGAAACTATTTTAATTAACTACAATTGATATGATGAAGTAATATAGCTCTAATTCGCAAGTAAAGTTGTCATTATGGTAATGATCAACATGGCGTCGGAACTATTCTAGTTAACTACAGTCGATACAATAAAATAATGAAGTCTTAATCTACTTAATAGACACTTGCTATTCTCATTTCTCTTATACATAATTGTATTGACAGTAGTATATATCTTACCTTTCCTGACCATTTAATGCCTTTGAAGACGCAGAGATAAATAATTGTCCAAGCTAATAATAATAATAATGCGAGCTCCCATCTTATGTGACCAAACTGGGCAGGACTAGGTGATAGTCCTAGTACACGAGCGCTGTAAGAAGACAGTAAATTGTATCATTTAAAACCGTTTATAAACCGTATACTGTAATGTATCACTGATATGTGGATAATCTACCGTGTATCTTGCTATTTTTTTATATTTCATAGGGTAGCTTAACATGTGTAATCAGCAGTATCTATGTTAAGGCTGTTACTTTGAAGCGTATTATATATTACTGATTTATGAATAACCTACTATGTCTTACTATTGGTTTTATAATATTTCATTAGGTAGTTTAACATGTAGTAATGAGTATGACTATTACTATAAGTAATTACTTAAAAAATTCTTGAGAGGGGGAAGTTCCCGACATATTCGTCTCTGAACCATTTCTAACGAAACAACTGTTAGTATTCCAGCTATTTCCACAAGTAGTCCACGGCAATGGATTGATAAAGCTGGCGATTGCAAAGAATAATACCCAAGCGAAAATAACGACATAGTTTATCCCAGAGAGAAACGTTGACAATAACTGGGCATATCCAATCCCTAGTTTGCAAAGAAAATAGACGATATTTAGGAATAGCTTCCATTTGAATAAAAGATAAAACGTATCCAAGGAGTTTGGCAGTTATCACTACCTCCAAATAGAGGACAAATCTTTTTATATGCCGTCGTAGGACCACTACGAAAGCATTGACCAATAGACATTTCCATAGCGATCATAGGTATACCACAAATAAATAGGAAAATCAGGTAGGGGATCAAGAAAGCGCCTATTGTATAGATAATAGCGAATTAACGTTGTGAAATCAATTTATGTTTTCCTTTACTTGGCTTTATATCAGTAGAAAAGGTCTAAACAGCATTGTATTGACTAAAAATACTGATACAGTATATCGAATATTGTTTATATCATTGTCTACATCTATCAATCTATTCTAACCATATTCTATATATTTATATGCATAGGTTATTCGATTGAAAATAGTCCATTTCTTATATCGGACGAAGCTCCGACTAGTAGCGATAATTATCAGATCTAAATATTTTTCTACTCAATCTGTAAAACTATGATATACGATCTGATCATGAGCGTTCATTAGTATAACTCTTGCGTGATAAATAGGATTTGCTAGATGGGTTTACGCTCACTGTTTGGAAGCAATACTGTTTAAGAGTAAAATTGTATACTGTTATAAACCATATTAAACTACAATGTTATAGTGAGTTAGACAGTCTATTGGCTGTACAGTAAACATGATTGTAAAGTTTAAAAAGTAGATATTGGCCACTTGCTTAGATAGATTTATTAAACTACAATGTTTTAATGAGGTAGATAATCTATTGTCTGTACAGTAAACATGATTGTAAAATTTAAAGTTTTAAAAGTAAATATTAGCCACTTGCTTAGATAGATACACTAAGGTATAAAAATTGTAATGGAGCAATTAGACACTATTTTAATGAAATCAAAGTAATGATGTAAAGATATAGTAATAATAACGAAACGAGCTAAATTTGATTGACAAATAAAATAGGTATAAATAAAGCTTGTTGAAATCTTTGTATAGTGTCTTGGCAAGTAAGCTAAAATAACTAGGCATCGATACATCATTCCAATGAAGTAAATTGATGTTAGAGTAATTTAAATATGAAGCAATAGCGAGAGATTATGGCTGACAGCAAGACATAGTTTCTATATAAATAAGAATACAATAGTCAGAGAGACAATATTTTCCTAAAGTATTGTCTTCTACTGGATATTAATTCATAAGCGTCACTAAAACGTTATTGTAGTACTGTTGGTTTGAAATATTCATGTAAACCTGCAATAACATTTTGAGAATAATACTGATGTCAATCATTTTATCTTAATTAGATAACGGCCTAATTTAAATAACTTGAAGTAGTCGATGATGTCCTCTTATGGATACTATTAACGCGTGCACGGACCAGAGCTTAGATCACATCATGGATTCTGACAATTATAGTTATTAAATCGACGGATCTTACTTGTCCTGATCGATATACAGTTTAGACTAATCTAGTCTTACTATCGTACATAGTCATAGTTTACCGGTTAGGATTTTATTGCAATGAGGAGTTAATTGGAGTAACAGTTTCTTCTCGATTAACAATAATGATTTAAAGGGATTTTATTACTTATGTACCAAGATAGGAAAGTGCTCCATCTTCTCGCTCTTTACTTTTATAAAAATGCTATATTACTAAGATTGACTAAGATTTTGGCCTTAAAAGGAAACATGCCTAAAATGTTTTGGTTGCTACTTATTGACTACAGACATCTGAGTATTCGCTATCTAATTGAAGTACTGCACTAGACAAACTTGGCTTAATATTGAAACAAACAAGAATAGAATATCATTATCTGGGCTGAGACTAAAGTCTTTAGAGTTTAGTCATAGTTATTACATGAATTGAAAACTTTTATACGTTCAGCTAGAATAGGTTCTCTATCAATATCTACTTAATAATCAGTACTCGGCTAACTTGGTAAGGGTTTGGACGGATTTAATATCACGATTAATGTTGTAATTTGATAATAAGATTGATCAGAATTTTCTACTGTCCCTTTTTAATCTTGTCGCATGTCCCATAGTTAAACTATCCTTACTTTTATCGTTACATTGTATAACACAGTAATAAGCATAGAATTGTTTTCATTTGTGCTATTTACGGTAAACTGATGCCGCCCTCTAATCCAATAGCTATAAGAGGTAAAAAATATCATAATCGCGTCTTACCTCTCAAAGTCTTGATTGCAACTGCACCGCTCGTTCTAGTTTTACTATTCGATTTAATAGAGATTATTACTTATAGTAAATGCCTTATAATGAAGAAATGATTATTAATACCCAATTAGAGCATGAAATTTTATGTGTCTTTGAACGTCGCACCTATGCCTGAGTTACAAGTTTACCGGTGTCTCGTATAATAGAAATAAGGGTAGAAATGCGTGCCCGAAATTGTTTGCTAACTTATGTACTCGAATTAAACATGTTGCTATATTCGTACTATTACCCTAATCAATATCATTGGAAGACGGCGGTCTTGAATGTATGTTTAATTACCTAAACTTCAGCTAGATTATAATCTTATGTTAGAAGGGCGTAGTTAAAGTATCATACTACAAATGAATGCGGAGTCTAGATATTAAGCGTTGTACTCGATTGTGCCCGTAATAAATTTTACTGAATTAATAAGCATAAGATGTTTAATTAGATGTTGAATGGTCGGAAAAATACTGATTCAGTCTCCCAAATAGCATGATTGAAATGGCTAAGCTAAGAAGAGATTGCATTAGTATTCGCTGAAATGATATGATATCTAGTCTTACCTCCACCATTATCATAGCAAAGATAGGGAAATCTCCACAAGTACCAAATCCAACAGCATAGCCTACACAAGATAGGAT